AATTCATGATATAAATAAATTAAAAAAGATTATATGACTATAAAATAAAATAAAAATATAAAATGTAGAACAATTTTTTCATATAAAGCTTTGTTTCCGAATAAATCAATTTTGAACAATTTTCAAATACAAATAACATTAATTAATTCTTGATTGTATATCGACAAATAATTATTTTAAATGTGAAAATAAGCAAAAAGTATAGGATAAAATTTATTATTATTTTCGAAAAAATTAAAATTGAACATATATAGTCATAATTTCATAAATTTTCAAATTCAATTTTCTTGAAAACTAATTTTTAAATGATATAAAAATATATTCTTCATTTGTTTATTTCTCATTTTCACATTTAAAATAATTTTCTATCAATAATATCTATTTTACAGAAAATTAGTTAATTTTACTTATATCAGAAAAATCATCAAACTTTTTGATTTGTTCGAAAACGAATTCTCTCACGTAATTTCGTTATTCTTGATTTTCGTCTTATTTCGAGTCATAAAATTCTTCTGACGCTATTTGTAATATGAATTACGAGCCACTCTGTGTAAAAATACACTGGACGAGAAATTTTCCATCACCTTTATTTTAATATTGATTTTTGTGCGTAGCTGAAATGAAACTTCCCTTTATTTCCTTTCTCCACACGCCGGTGAACAATTTTATCGCGATACCATTTTCAATTTCGAATCATTTACGTGGTTTACATTCCTCCATTGCACGACGAACGGTGTTCACCCTCGAATGAATTTCTCCTCCGCATATTTCAGTGAAATTTTCTGTTTGAAGTAATAATTGGAGGTTCCATCGAATTAAGTGGAACAGAAGAAACAGAGAATGATCAATGAACTTCCATTTTGGCACGATCGAATGCGTACAATTTTTTATCTTTCTCCAATTCTCCTTGAAAAATACAAAAAAAATAACATAATAATAAACGATAGAATAATTGATATGAAGAAAATTTTATTTCTTATAAGGAATAAAATATTCGAATAAAATTTTCTTTTAATAAAGCAACTTATATTATTAACAATATGTGAAATCCAAGAAATAGAAACCTTTCAAACCAATTAAATTTTAAATATTTTTGGATAAAAAAAACCTTTAATCCTAAAATTGACATTTGAGTCTAACAATCTAATTTTATATTATTTTTTCATTTAATACTAGATTAAACTAAAGGTAACCTAAATCTAACTCAAATATAGCAGTGCCCACTTTAACGCTTGCAGTTTGGATCGAATTGATATACTTATCTGGGCAGTCTATCGCGAAATTAACTTTTGAAAGAAAGAAAAGAAATGTGAATGTGAGTTAAATTTTATTCATCAGTTTATTTCATTCATTTGAAATTTATTTTTAGATTTCATTTCTAATAATTAATCAAACTAATATAATTATTTCAAATGAAATAATGAAAATATTTTCAGCATTCTGAAACAATTTCTTGAGATGGATCCAATATATATATAATAATCTGATTCTATTCTTCATACTAAAATTACTTCAAATTTAATCTAAACTTAGCTCAAATATTTAAAAAATTTATTTCATGTATCTATCATAATCTAATTCAATAATCTGAAATAGATGAAATACTTTTTATCTGTATAATTTGATTCCATACTTAATATAAAATTTAAGATATCTATAGTTATTTGAAAAATCTAAAAACAAAATATTTTTATTATCTGAAATAACACCTACAAATATATTCTAATTCTATATTTGATATTCATTAAACTATTAATTTAAATTTAACTCAAAAGAAAAATTAAATTTCATATGTTTCAATCTAATATAATGATTCAAAACGAAACAAACAAAATATTTTTGATATTTCAAAACTTTCAAATCTTCATTAAATGGAATCTATAACTATAACTAAATAAAATTAAATTTCACATGTATCAATCTAGTAATAATTAATTGAAACGAACTACTCTCCAAAATAATTTCTTCAAAAAATTTAAAATTCAAACTAATTTAAATCTAATTTTCAAAACTTTTGAACAAATTAAATTTTATATGTGCCAATCTAATATCGATTTAATATGAAAATAATTTCAGAATTCCGAAATATTTTTTACAAAATTTTTTTAACTTAATTTAATCCAAGTTTCACATGTACCAAGTATATCTAGTATAATGATTCATAACGAAATACCTTTGGCATTCCAAAACAATCCCTTCAAAAAGGATTGAAACACCAAACTAATTTAAATTTAACTTAAATCTAACTCAAACATTTGAAGATATTAAATTTCATATGTGCCAATCTGATATAGTGATTCGAAATGAAACGAAATACTTTTGAAAAAAAGTAATCTAATTTAACAAATGTAAATTTCAAATGTATCAATCTAAAATCATGATTTAAAACAATTAAAACGAAATCAATCTCTTTAAGAATATCTAAAGAAACTAAATTTTATACATACCATATCTAGAATGATTCAAAAACTTCTTACTATGAATGTATTCACAACAATTTAACTCTATACTTAACTAATATATATATAAAAACTAATATAAATTCACCAAATGTATCAATCTAATATTATTATATTAGAAATAAAATACTTTTAATATTGCAAAAACTTAACCTAACCTAATTTAATCTAAATTTTACACTCACCAATCTAATATAACAATTCAAAACGAATTACTTTCGAGGTTCCACAAGTCCTCCATAAGAGTCTGAAACAGTGCATCGACACTTTCCTTTCTACTCGTTTCTCGCAACCACAAGTTGATCCGTCGACGATCCGCGGAATACAGCGCTATTCCTGGCGGAGACTCGTGTCGAGTGAGCGCGGTCGCGGCTAACAGAGAGGATTAAAAATACGTTGAAGTGTCTTCTCCCTATCCTTGCAGGGCCACGGTTTGAAATACAGCGGTTGTAATGAAGCTTATTCCCGTACTCGTGCCACGCCGTGGAAAGCGGCTTAGCTTTTAATTGCTATAAACCAGTCCGGCATAATTTCGCCGTCTCTCAGGCTTGCCCTCGTAACTCAGACTTCGGCTAACTTCACCGGATACTCACGCGGATTTTAATGGAAGAGGTTTGCGAGTCTTTCTTTCCAAGAGAGAAAAATTAT